GCGGCTCCTTTGCAGGCTTGTCACGTTCAGGGAGAACGGACATCGCCGGCGCTTGCCGAATCACAGGCATCGTCGGCTCGCCCTCGCGGGCGGCGATGGTTGGCTTTGCACTTGATGCAGCTTCGGGGTGCTCGGATCTGGCCTCAGTCGAGACTGTGGTCTCGAGCACAGCTTTCTTGGCATCTGCACGGAGCTGCTCTTCGTACTGCTGGGTGGGCCTTTCGGTCCTGACTGCCGAGCATGACCCACATGTCGGACGGGATATCGGGAGGCCTTTTGGATCCGGCCTTCCTACGGACGAGCCGAACCCCATCCCACACATAGCCATCGGGCACTGGTGACCCATCAGGCATTTTGCTTGGGTCGAATGCACCACTTTTGTCAGGCATGACAGGCTTGATCTTCGCTTCGGATTTCTCCGATGCGGCGGGTTCCTCGATGTGGGCTTGCCCACGCTCCAACGGCACAGGGTCACTTCGTGTTTTGGCATCGGCAACAGGTGGATGAGATGCAGGGTCTTTCAACAACCTCATCGGGAAGATGAACTCACCCGTTGGAAGCTCAATGCGCTTTGTTCGCTGTTCGATATGATAATCGAGCCCTTCTAGCTTTGCAACAAGGAATTCACCTTTCCATGCGAACCCAGGCTGAATGTGGTACCCGAGAAACACGCCTTCATTTCATGTTGGCGAAGTCTTGCCTGCCTGATTGTCAGCTCGTGCCGGGTTGTTCCAGAACAGTACCTTTGCTCCGAACGGTATCTCAGCTTCATCAAAGGTCTTGTGAAACCTGAGGTACCATGGCGAATCGTTTCCGTTCAACTGCGGCAGGATGTTGGTTGCAACTGCATTGTGCTGGATTGCAAATGGCCACATCGACAGTGGGAACCCTGACTGAACAAGATTCGCACGTGCTCCCTCCAATAGATGTCTGATTTCCCTTTCTACAAACGATTTGGACGAATCGACATATTCAAGGGAGGTCTGATGACGGTACCCCAACTGCTCTATCGCGGCTTTCAATTCCCGGGAGTTATCGGTGTAGAGAACCTCAACCTCATCCCTGCCGGAAATGAAATGCTGGATCCCTGCAACGGATTGCTCCGTGCTTTTGCTGGTCGATGGATACACGTACCTGAACTGCGTGCGCACGTCCTTGATCACGAGAGCACACCATTCACCTTTGATACCTTGCTCGATGTTGGCCTTAAGAATCACATGACCGGCAATGATGTGATCTCCGAATGCTTTAGTCTCGAGCCTTCCCTGCCCGCCTTTCGATCTTGCATATGGGGCAAGCGTCTTCGCACGTTGGCAAGTGCGGCAAAAGGGATTCTTCGGATAGTGTGCGAACAAGTGTTCTTTGGTACTTGCTTCGGCAACCAGGTCTTGCTCTTTGCGGGATCTCACAAACCGCTCAACTTCGTCGTCAGGATCGTCACCTTCGTCGATGCCTTCGTCATGAACCGGTGCAGGCGCCGGCTTGGATGCAGCTACTGCACTCAACGATGGCTCAGCTTCACAGCTAGAATCCATGTATGGCACATGACCGTCAACCTTGAGCTGGATCAGAGCGCCATCAGGGCGGACCATGGTTGGCGCCTTCCCGGACTCCCAATGGAAGGAGTATCCTTGATCCAGGCACTTCACACCCAACGACAGCACTGCGGGAGAGCTCTCAAGGATGTAAGGCTGAGCGGGCTCACACAATGCATCGACATTGATGTCGGCGATTTCGGAAGCAGTGATGTTTCCGTTTGCAGTCACAAGGCGAATAGGCTGAGGTGCCTGCTTTCGGACCGCCTTGGATGCATTCCTCAGGGCAGCTTTGCTGATGAGGTCCTCCTTTCCCTTTGGGGCAGGAGTGGCTGCCCTTGGCGCTTCGACATCCTTGCGGACATCGTAAGGTGGCATGGCAATTCTCAGGCACTCATCACACGATAGGCTTGAGATGGAATCGGATTCCACATCGCACATGAAACCACAAGCGGGCTGGGCTCCATTCTCAATGGCTTTGATTACGGCATTCAACTGGTTCGCGGCCTTGCGCGCTGCCTTGTTCGTGCCTTTGGTCGGCCTGGGGCAGTCCTTCGCATTAGGAAACATCCTATTGTACTGCCGGTCCTCATATTCGAGCTTGAAACCATCGCCTTCAGCGGGGATCTGTGCACATGAGCATTGGTGTCGAATGACACTCCTACCGGGTTGATCGGCTTTGCGAACATGGCGTACCTGATGCAGACTGCAGCGGCTGTGGCCTTAGGCTTAGGCTTGGGTGAGTTTGCACGCTTCTTAGCCGCAGGATTAGCATTGGCCTCGTTGCTCGATGCCGCAGCGGCAGACTTGCCGCCAGTGGAGGCATGGCTAAACTTGCATGTGTCACCTCTAGTGCACTTCCCTTGGGCAAAGAAAGAGCACGGTGCTTTGTCTCCCTTATTGCCTTTGGGGGAATTCGGTCTGCCACGGGTCGCAGAGCGTCCTCGCGGCTCCTTGCGGCGCGCGTAAGGGCAATTTGCCCCCCTCGTGCACGAGCCCTTCTGGAAGTCAAAGCAGTACTTCTCCTCGGTGTCCTTCGGCTTAGGTGCGCTCTTTTTCTTGGGGCCCTTCTTTTCGGGAGCAGCGGCACCGGCCTTAGGCGTCGGGGCTTTACTTGCATTGACCTTGGACACGCGCTCTCGGTTCTCGCGAAGCCTGTCCCTTTCAATCAGATCCCTCATGCAACGCATCAGGAGATCATACGATTTATTGGGATCATCATCACGGCAACGATCATATGTGTCAATGTCGTACCGCAACAGATGGCAGCTCCTCACTTGGCGAAGCAAAATGTCTTTCAACACCTTTTCTTCGGGCGGCCTTTTCATGCCGGCAATCACGGAGCCCCAAGCGTTTAGAAATCGCTTAAGATCAATGATCCCTTCGCCGTGTCGCGAGACACGCAACAGGTCCTCCAAGGAGTAGAGGTTTCCGGCTTCTTCACTGGTCTTGAAATATTGGTCAAACATAAACAAGACCTGCCTTCCTCTCATTGCCTTTCCCTCCTTGGCACATTCTTCCTTTGCTGTTAGGATTCGCTGAGCCAGGTCACCTTTCGCTGAGCGCGTGAGCGCTGCGAGAATCTTCGTGTCAAGAGTCACGAATTTCCCCGGTTCACCAAGCTCTTCCAACAGCTTTTTCTTATCCTCGCGATCAGACCAAACTTCCATGATCCAAGGCCAGGCCTCGTCTGGTCGGTCGGATGCAGCGCGGACGTCCTCACGAACCGATGTCTTCCATTCACGGTACGTTTCAGGAGTTGGCATCTCCTTGAATCGCAACGTCTCGCTTTCGCGAGTTCTGGGCTTCTCGTCGTTCGTGTGACCTTTCACCAACTTCATCAACATCTTAGCGAAAGCTTCTTGACCGAGGTTGGGCCCCAAGGCCGTCACCATCGTCTTCATCACCTTCGCCATCGCCATTCCCATCATCACCGAGTGGCGGACCGCCAGGAGGCTTGCCTCCCTGCTTGCGGTCAGTTGGCATTGGCCCCTGAGAAAAAAAATTGCAGGGGCGCAACCGGTGCACTTGTTTTGATCGGGGACCGACCACTACCTGACGGCTTCTCTGCGGGTCCTTGCGGATCGCGAGCATCTGCGAACAGTGCTTCGCTTTCGGCAGGTGGCATTATGCTGGGAGTATACTCAACCTCGTAACCGTCATAGGTAACAAGCGACCTCAACTTTTCCTTTGCGTATTGAAGTGGATGGGACAAACGGGTCCAACATTGACCTTTGCGACCGAGCCGACTTCATGTCGTCGGTCATCAACCCTGGCGAATCCTCTCGGGTATCGCCTACCCCTTGGGGCTTCGATCCATCCTCGCGGAGGTCGTGCTGCTTCTGATACCTTTTTAGCTCATCAAGCTCGTCCTGCAGAAGCCCGTTTTGGTGGGCCATCATGTCAATCGTCCTGGCGTTCTTCGCTTCAACACGGGCAGTGTCATCAGCGTGCTTAGCGGCTTGCTCCTGAAGGAGCTCCTGGGCATCTGTCAGACTGGATTCGATGGCTTGCCTAAACTCAGTTGTTTTGCGACTCACTTCCACTTCATGCGCTGCTTGGGCGTTTTCCTCGCACACTTGGCTTATCCTAGCTTCAGCGAAGTTCACTTCTTGGATGAACTCATCGCTCACTCGCTGTTCGTATTCACGAATTCTATGCGACTGGGCTTGCACACACTCAGCGTAGTGTGCGTGCAGCTGATTCTGTGCGACACGGAGCTCCTCACGGCTTTCCGCTTGCAAATGCGTAACAGCTGCTTGATGCAGGGCTTCGGCTTCAGACCTAATGGCTGCATCATTCCCAAAAGCAAAGCTTGCGGCGTTGTACAGTTGAAGGGAATTCATCAGGGTGCGGTTATACTGCGCATTGGCGCTTGGCGCGAACGTTCGCGCACCGACAGCATCCACAGGCATGTTGGATCCATCAACTGGCACAAGGGAACCGTCCATTGCTGAGAGCTAGGGGCCTACGGCTGATAACCTATAGATTCAAGGGTTACCGGTTTGGGGCCCAAAAGGAAACAACAAACCGTCCAAGTGCGCTGCTCGCACATTTTCACGCTTGAACAGCCACACTGCGGATGCAATAGATGTTAAACCCTCAAACAGACCGATTGAATTCTTCAGGTTTCGGGTGAGCTAAAGGTGGATGTAGGGGTTGCTTAGGCTGTCCTTGGAGTTTGTTTAGTTTTCTTTCCTTTGCGGAAAGCCAAAACCACGCAAAAAGCCGCGAAAGCTAAAAAAAAGGACCCACCCATCCATGAGCAAAAACCATCACCTTTTGGAAAGGTGACCAAGGTTACCTTAAGAGGTTGAAGACACACCCATGTGCCACTTGACTTGTTTTTCCTGTTTCTTGTGTCTTTTTGTCTTCTTCTTTTTTGGGAGGGGGGGTGTAAAAAAAAAACATCTCAAAGACGAGCTTCACCCCACATGGCTCGCTCCGCGTCCGAGTCCTTCAGTCCTTCAGGTCCGCGTGGGCCCAGAACCGCCGCAGCTCCGCGGACAGCGCCGCGGCGTGGGCGTCCAAGCGCCGCGCCAGCGGCAGCGCGCCTGAGACGCTCGACGCTCGGGAGACGCAAAGGGCGGGTCCGAGCGTTGAGACGGGGCAAACCACCCTAGGGGTAAGGGGAAAAAGTGAGCATTCCACTGACTCAAATGGAATCCACCAGACCCCCAATTCAGGAGAACAATTCGCGGGTGTGGGGAAAAAGCTAGCTGGGGATGAGTTGCCCAAAATGGTGGATGTCCTTGCAGTTTCCCTTTGACCAAGGGGCACCCTCAAAGAAAGACACACCCAACACCCGCGGATTGTGTGACATCTCTTTGCTGGGAGTACGGTCGTTTCTGCGGGACCAGGTTCCTTAGGCAAGGTTGGAAGGGGGAAAGGTGCGTCTTGGATAGAACAACCAGTTCAACACATGTTTGCGCGGACCAACCTGCAACCAGTGCCATCTATGTTGAACCGAACTGACCTAAAAAGGCCATCCATCAAGAACTTCCCCCACTGACTAAATCCGATAGTGAAGCCTGATTTAGAGCTTATGTACTCCTAATTTACCCTTCATGACTTCATGTTTGTCTTATCTTGAAGGGTATGTTCCGGGGGTCTGGTGGTACAACCTCTGAATCTACACTCCTCCCAGCCATCTGCCAACAGGGACGAGGGCAGCTTCTCATTGAGTTGCCACTGGACGGGCAGCTGCTGGGCAGACCCCACCAAACTCTACGGGTCTATGGCAACAGGTTCTCAAGACTCCCACTGCGCGCGCACCCGGTGCTGTCCAAGTCACAATTCTCTACACACCACACCTGAGCCAAGGAATGCTTCATTGACCCAACCCATCATCACCCCAGTCTCCGGAGACTCTCTGCGTGCAGAAATGTGCTCTCAAAGCAAAACCTCGTTGTAAGGCTCTTTTTGCTTCACCGTGCGCAAGCACACACACACACACACACACACAACCCCAAACAAAAGGTTAAACACCTTGGATAGAGGCCTGTGCAGCACAAAAGCCCACAAGTGGGTGAAAACCTGTAGGAGGCTCCATCCCCTCACATGGTGGAGGTTGCCAATCATCAATGTGTCCAAACAAGATGGCACAAAGTCTGGCATCTGGCCAGAGTTCAAGAGCAGCTTGCCAAAGCTCGGCTTGTCTAGATGTTTGTGAGCAAACAAAACTCAAAGCTCAGCCAAACTTGTTCCAAGACCTCCTCGCACATGTTGGACTGGTGCTCAAACGCAATATCTTGCTGCAAAATCACGTATTCTCAGCAGTCGAGCCAAACCTAGCATACCCCCAAACCTGCAATCAGAACCTACCCAAATCCTAGCCGAATCAATCCGGCTGGCTGATCTGAGGAAAATCCATGACCGAAGTCCCCGAAATGCCCGGACGGATTTGGGGGTGGCGTGGCCCAGTGGCGGAACCCCAACACGTGGCGTCTGGTCTTCCCTTTCCACCAATCACAAAACATGGCCATGGGTCCAAATCCCGTACACCCAGTGAACATCCCAATCCCCACCAAAATCCCGACTAAAATGGGTGGTGCACCTACCCCAAAATGGGATCCCCTTGGTTTTGACAACCACAGCCACATGGGCCTGTCTTTTCCTGATCGCATCCCAAACGGCCACGGTCTTTCTTCGCCACAGCTCCCCAATTTGTTGTTCGGCCGCAGGCACGGGCTTGGCGGTCAGGCCGGGGTGGTACCACCTGGGATATGGGTGTGTGTGTGTGTGTGTCAAGACCAATGGGATCCCATTTTGGGGGTTTCGGTGCACCACCCATTTTAGGCGGGATTTTAGTGGGGATTGGGATGTTCACTGAAAGTCCTTTTTTTTTTTGACCCATGGCCATATCAACATTCGCTCAAAGAAAAGAAAGTTAACCCGAACACTTCAACGAAAAAGGCTATGCTCTTCTGGGTTTTGTACAGCTTGGTGCCGCATGAACTATCAAGTCTGGTGGTACTACACCCGAAGGGGCACCTTCTTGATGACTTGCTGGCGCCCGCAGTTAAACACAAGCCTCAGGCTGAGCCACCTTGCTTCTGAAACGCCAGATTCGCCGCAACTGGCGCATCCTCCTATTGGGCCACCAATGCGAAACCTGACACTCAAAGCCAAAACCCGTGCCTGGCTTTGGATGCTACAGCTCTGTTGCACAGAATCCGTGCATCGAAAGCAACTGAGAGGAAGCCATCGCCTGCGAGGTTCCCCAGTTTTGACACATTACACGTTGACTGGATGGAGCATCCTTTTGGTTCCCGAAAAGCAAGCCCAGAACAGGTCTTCCCTCAATTCCTTGCACGCCGTCATTCCAAATGTTGCATCACCAACGCGCCATCGCCGAATGACCTGAATCCCGCTGTGAAGGAATACTCCGGCAAAATCGACACGGATTCCAAAAAAAATGCCACAAAACAAGACCCTGAGATTCCTCAAATGATCTCTGATCCTTTCCATTGGGTATAACTTCAACACTCCGTCCAACTAGTGGATAAGTCAACGTTCTCGCGAAAGTTATCAGGGTACCTTCACTTGTCCAGTACTCAGTAGGAAGGATAACTTTGAGGCGTGCATTGAATAAAAAGGTTTCGTCAAGTGAGTCATGATCAAAACCCGGTATTAAAATGGTCTACCCGGTCTACCCAGAACCATGAAGAGAATTAGGAAGGCGTCCGCAGGTAATTACGGTTGGGAGTATCCCTTACTAACCTTCATCTACCCAGGTTTTGATTGTGGCTCTCAAGTGACAGCCCCTTCCTTCGACTGCGGCGCTCAGAAGCGACGATGGACTGCAGCGCCGACTCTGCGAACACATTTCGGTGGGCGCTGCGGATGGCTCCTACAAATGGAAACGAATCGAACGAAGGCGGGGAGGCTCAAAAGCACGGCGCGGGGACTGGCATGGGTCTACAAAGGCGCTTATGCTTGAAAATGGGATGGTGGGTTCAAATATGTCTCTAAGCAATCCACTTTTCGTTGGTGGGATCGTTATCCTTTATTGTCCGGGTAGTCTTAGGCAGTATTTGATCATGATGTTCATGGTCAGCCAAACTCCGGACTTGGTAACTTGGCTGATGTCTGAGAACCCCCACGCAAAAACGGGTGACCCCACCAAGCACAGGCCTTGTCTGAAAGGCCTGGGAGCACCTCCATGCTGATGGGAGGCTACGAACAAAAAGAATGCTGGTGTTCCAGGGAACCGGAAAAACCAGCTAGGCTGTCAAGTCGCGATCATAGGATAAACTTTCTATTGTTGTCTCCTGCAAGTAGCAAGAGAAAGAGGAAACCTTTGCCTGGAACAGACACAAGTACCGTGGCTGCCACAAACAAACAAACAAACAAACAAACAAACACACACACACACACAGACACAGAGACACACAGACACACAGACACACAGACACACACACACACACACAGACACCGACACAGACACAGACACAGACACACAGACACAGACACACAGACACACAGACACGCACACACACAGACAAAGACACAGACACAGACACAGACACAGACACAGACACAGACACAGACACACACACACACACAGAGACACAGAGACACAGAGACACAGAGACACAGAGACACAGAGACCCAGAGACACAGAGACACAGAGACACAGAGACACAGAGACACAGAGACACAGAGACACAGAGACACAGACACACAGAGACACAGACACACAGACACACAGACACACAGACACACAGACACACAGACACACAGACACACAGACACACAGACACACAGACACACAAACACAGACACACACACACACACACACAGACAGACAGGCACACACACACACACACACACACACACACTCTGAGATCAACACATCCTAAGTGGCCCGGCGGGCGCCCCGAGTGCGAGCACGTCTCAGCCCCCCAAGCCGCAGTTTACAGCGAGACACCAGTTGTGACTTTGACAACCCAGGGTCAAAACCATGACCCCACCAAAAAATGCTGAACTGCAAACCAAACTGCGAAAATAAAAAAATGCCCCCGCTCCCACGTAGTAGGCGTGGCTCTTGATGCCGTGCAAGTTCCCCGGGCGCGGCAACACCTCCTTCGCCACGCAGGGCACTGCCACCTGTGAGTGGCGAGACTTGCTGTCGGCTTGGAACGGGAAGGTGAATCCACACATCGCGTCATTGATTGTATGTGTGTGTGTGTGTGTGTCGCTTGTTGAGTTTACCCTGTTGGCCTTGGTGCAAAAGCACCACTCCAGAAATCCCCCCCTTGTGGGGGTCGCCCACCTTACATACCCATTGCCCATCTGGTTTCTTTCCCCTGATTCCCAACCGTCCAAAAGGAGGCTGCCGTCGCGATCAGTTCGCCTGGTCCTCGGTGTCGTTGACCCCGTAGAAGATCTTCATCTTCTGCTCCAGTTCTGTGGTCACCTGGAGGGGGGGGGAACCAAGAGTCCCAAAATGCCGATGAAACAGGGGGCAGCCAGGTGCTTTTCTTGTGGTAAACTTTTGCTCTTTGGGTGTGTTGCTCACATTCTTGGTGGGGAACCATGGACATGTGCTTGTGTTTGAGGGGGACAGGGTGGCTGAAGAGGAGTTACGGCAGGCATGATGGCTGCGCATATTGCAAGGTAAAACCCAAAGGCTCCGGACGCCAATACAAGCCATCAATGTGGGCGGTATTCCCCCTGCAAGCCTATCAAAGAAATCATATGGGCATCCGTTTAACCGGGGGACCCGTTAGTGGACATGGCGGTTCCCTATAAAAATATTGTGACTCGACTCACTAAACCTTCAAGTCCAGTTGTTCGTCCCCACCACCCCCACCACCGCACCCCCCCTCCCCCGTCCCGGCCTTTCAGGATTTCCAGGATTCCCTACTTGCAAACATAGACATCCATTGGACAAAGACTTGAAAGCCTTCACACCGTCATCCTGCGGATTTTCAAAGCAGGTCCAAAAGCGCCAAACCCACGTTGACAGCAGACAGCCTGGAGTTTGCCCTTAAACCAACCTGAAAGGGGTACCGTGCCTCCAAAAAGAAAAGAGCCACACGACCCACAAACCGCCCGAGGCGCTTCGTAGAGCTGCTGGAAGTCGTGGCCGCCGCCCGAGTTCCTGGAGAGCTTCCGGACTCCATGTGGACGAAATCCGTTCGCGCCACTAAACCATAGGAGACCATGAGGTGTTGGTATTTGTCGGGGAATCAAGGCTTCTTGGTGCAAAATTTTGTCCATCCAGTGTGGGGGTTGATTAAAAGGTTTTTGTTTTTTGTTTTTTATGAGATGGCCATTAGGGAAACCTCCAAGAAAGATGACTCTCGCCACCAAATCGGAAAAGTTGCCCATGATCATTTGGGGGCCAGGAACATTGATCAACCTCCATATATTAGGGGAGAAGCCTGACATCTAGGTATCTAGGTCGGGATAAATGTCCACCAACTACTTTTGGCATGTTCCCTATTCAAAACATCCTAGCTATATTGAGAGCCACGGTCAAAATGATGATTTCACCCAAGAGGACATGGGAAACTTAGTGAGTGCCCTGAGCTTTGTGGGAAAATTGGTGAGTAGACTAGTGGAAATATGAACGAACCACATACGTCCTCTTTAAGCATCACCCCACCTAGTAACTTAAGCTTAGCCCAAAAATGCTTATCTAAACAATCTAAACCACCCAAAAAGGGACAAACCCGCCAAGTCATGACCTTCCACTGAAGGCCTTTACACTGAAGTGAATCAGCCACCGCCAAAACGTTGTAATGCGCAAAAAAATGCAGGGTTGTCTGGTTCCCTCGTTCCCCGCTTGCGATGTGTCAGGAATCCGCCGTCCTCCCACTGAATGTTCAACATAAACACCAAACAGTCCCTGGACATTGACATAGAACCCCAACACGGAACCTAGAAATCCCAAATAGAAAAGCCTCTGAGAACTTCACACAAGCACCAGAAACAGGCGACCCACCTTTTGGAGAAACGCCCATGTGAGCCACTGGAAAAACGTGTTCTTCCCAAAAGAGGAAAAACAGCATGCAAAAATTAGGCTCGTCCTCCTGAGATTTGTACCACTTTGGGGTATCCCACCCAGACCTACCGCTACTGCCAGTCCTTCACATTCACATCTGAAGGAACTCTCCTTCACCCCAGGACTGAAATCAACTGCATTTCTTGATTGTAGAGAGAAGCCGAAAGGAAACCGAAAGGGAAACCGAAAGCATGAGAAATAGGAAGCCCTAAAAAAAGGACACCTTTTTGGGAAACCCCAAAGTTGGCAGAAAAGGGAAACCAAACAAAAGCCAAAAAAAACGTGGAGCGCCCACAAAGTAAATTCCAGGGAGACCCAAATTGACATGACCCCCCACAAGTCGACTCCTGCGTTGACGCAGCGCTGTTAGCTCTGCCCGCATCTGCTCTGCCGGCAAAGCTGGGCACGAGTCGACATCCCTGAGGCAAACACACAAAGGCGATCCCGTCACAAATCATTCAACCATAGTTGATAAGGTAGCAAGTGCCGGCCAATTGATTGACACACGCACGAGAAGCCAGGCTTATCAGCTGAAGAGCCTGGCAGCCAAGGCGGCACGCGCCAGCAGAAACACAACGGCCATGAACCATCGCAGTGAGGCGAGGCAACTCCTAGTAACAGCCCAAGGCTTGGCTTCGTCGGTCGCTTGGGTGACGTTGGTGGCAGAAATAACACACCCTCCTGTACTTAAGGGGGGTTGGTGGCTGAAATGGTCGTGGTGTTGAAAACATTGCGAGCTGAAATTGAGAGAGAGAGAGAGAGAGAGATAAAACGGGAAAAAAAAGGAAATGGTGTCGCTCGCGAAGACGGGTTGGCGGTTGTGGCGGTGTGTGTCGGTTGTGGCGGTTGTCGAGGCGCAGGGAAGGGCTTTTGTCTGTGGCGTTGCCGGCATATGTCTGGTGTCACTGGAAAGCTTGCGAGCCCGCGATCTGATCCAAGTTTACCAATCCAACGGTCTAACAAGAAGCTCCATCTGCTGACCTCGAGCCCCTTTGGCCAAGAATTCCTCATGACCATTTCACTGAAACAAACTAGTCTTTGACCCTTGCTGTCCACGTTCTGCAGGATTCATGCCAACAAGGGGGAAAAAAAGTGAAAAGCAAAGTAACTGCAAAGCCACGCCAAATTCCTCGCATTGCTCAACACTGTTCTCCGCCCATTTGTCGCTGACGGCTCAATCTGTCAGCTCAGCTCCGGCAAGCTCGATCACGTGTGCCGAACCGCAGATCTCGCCTTCCAGTGGAAGGCACGGGCCCAGTTGTTTTTCTTTCTTTGACTACTTCCATGGTAGACCTAAACCCAAAGGTTTCCCTTTTGGGGGGACATCAACCGCTGGGTTTAGGTCAGCCTTGGGGTCGTCAAGAATTGAACCATCGGGAGTCAATCAAGTGGCGTTGCTTTGGTCCTCTCAAATACCACGACTGGACTCTTCATTCATGACTGGCCAAACGTCTGCACGGCAACATCTCTCAATCACATTCCAGCAGCTACCCTTATTCATCTCAGTGGGGCCACATGCTTGTCTGCAGGCGGAGGTGTGCCCTTGCACCCACCCACTGAGATGGAGAAATGTCGTCCTTGGATGGTCACATTCTCTCGGTCAAGTCTAAGGCCCGCCTCAAAACGTCCCTCCTCGTTGGGGTCCAACTCGTGCTGACACATTCTCAAACTGGGATGCTTCCCAAAATTGCACTTGGACCCAAGACAACATGGCTGGATTTCTTTCGACCACCATCCAATCCGAGAAACAAAATCGCTTGAACATAAACGAGCGTCCTGGAGCAAACCACACATGTGCAAGCTTTGAGCGTGAAGAAGAACATGGGCCAAGGGTTGGATTTGGCAAACATCTGCCCTGCCCAACTGGATTTTGTGACAAACACCTGCCTCACCGGATTTGACACATATCCTCCAAAAAAGCGGGTGTTGTCGGCCCGGTTCCTCCAAACCACCAAGAAACGCCTCGCGCCCGAAGTTCCGATTCGGCCAACTCCGCGAGGCGCGAGGCGATGCCTTCCACGTCTGCGGCTTCGTTTTCCTCGGCAAGGGGACACGACCCCCCTCCCCCAGGACACCTGGAGCATATGTTGCACCCTAAATGAAGGAGGATGCAAAATAGAGCCTAAGGTCCATCATTCCCCACCCCCCACCCCCCGTCGTTGTTGGAAGGCTTCTGGCGACTCCAGGAAGCCACACAAGGTCCCTGTTTCAGAAACAGAGATGTTGGGGGCGAGGTCGAGTCGGCTATTTGAAGCCAGGTGGCCCCAGGGTGTCCGTCTCCTTTTCTCCGGAAAGGGGCATGGGGCATGTGGTCCGTTCCGCGGGCATGAGTTTTCAATTCTGACTTGGGGCAAGGGGAGGTGACATCTCAGGAGGACCCAAGTATTCCAATCACCGCTTATAGGGAACTTCGGGGCGAGTGAAGACTGCAAAAGAATCGGCTATTGGCCCATTCAAAGATAGAGGTTGGCCGTTGAAGTGTCGATGACTAGATTTTTTTTAATTAGGGCTTCCTCTCTCCTGGCTTTCTCTTTCAAGCTTCCCTTCAAAACAACAAACAACCGGCGGCAACCCCACTCGGACTCATTTCGGAAGGCCAACCCCAGAGCTCGGATGGCGGATTTCACGAGGGACCTGTTTGCCACAAAACCTACTAAGCCAAACGGTTCCAAGCCGGGAGCCTCCCTTTGGGCTCCAGGACGAAAACGTAAAAACATGGGGTTGTAGCTCGATAAGTCGCCCCCCACCCGAACCCAAGTCGATGGGCAAAACAGGCAGACAAATGGCCCAACCTCGTAGAAGGGCCTTAAGGGAAGAAGAAGAAAAAACCTCGGCGTTGCTCCGTCCCCCTCTCCCCGGCACCGTCGATTTGACCCGAAGGCGCCACTCCAGCAGCGGAGGGATCTCCGCAGGCCTCGCAGGCCGCGGCGGCCTGGCAATACGCCACCTGCCCGGCGCTGACGGGGTCCCGGAAAGGCGTTCGTTGGGAGGGATCCTTGGATGCTGCAACGACCCCTCTGCAAAAAGTGACTAACTTTCTGTGGGTTTAATGGAAAACCCCTTGAAATCCCCAAAAGTTAACGTCTAAAGATCCAACCCAATAGCAAGGATCCAAAAGGCCGTGTTGGTCACTTTGTGGCTTTGTGGCCATCGGGCAAACCCACAATTGATGGAAAAACGCATTGACAAGGCCGAGAGATTCAACACAGACCGGTGAATTGGACACTGCACTGAAGTCAAGGCTAAGATTTGTAGGCGCCAAAGGGAGACAATCGGAGCTTCGGAGCAGGATATGGCACCAAAGAAACTCGTCCGGTCCCCTGGGAGGCTAACCCCCCCAACTCTCCAGACTAGCGATGGACTACCAATGTTGGTTTGCTCAGCTGCTTCCCTTCGCTCTGAGCAGCCGGTGAACCGCTGCCAGAAGTGCCAATGATGCCGTCGTGAGATGGACAGAGCAAGAAATGGCCTCGGTTTATCTTTGCGCCTCTCGTAGATTCCAGCTAAACCTTCAGCGCTATCTGCACATTGGAAAAGCTCGCATCTTAGTGGCAGTGTAAGCTGGGGCCGCTTCCTGCCCTTTCCATCATATCCGTTTGTGCAACAAGGGGCCTGAACTCAAGCGAAGCCGCCTTTTTTTGCCGCTCATGTTTACAGCTTACCATGAACTATAATTGCCAGCGGATGTCGTCCCATTGGTTCCAGGAAGAACTTGGGTCTAACTCCAAATCCAAACCACAGACTAAGGCTAATCTGGTGGTTGGCTTCATCCGTCACTTGCACATCACTCACCCAGATCTCTTTGTTCCTCCCTCCAGCAGCACCCCACCTGATTTCGCAAAGAAACTCCATCAAAGACCTACTGCAAACCATGGAACCCGATTCCATGTGATCCCTTGCCCAAAAGGAGCGTCTAAACACGGATCGGTGGTTTGTGGGTTCCACAGTTCCACGTTTGGGTGGATCTGCTTTTGCTGAACCCCCTGTTGCTTGCTTTTGACTTTTGGCATCAACCTTCCAGGAGATGCCTACACCAAGGTGAAAGTAGATGACACAATCCCCCTTCTGTTGGCAAGGGGCATTGATGAAACCAAAATAGGGGGAGAATACGCCACCCAACTGCAATAAGCCATATGAATAATCAGGCTTAGTTGAACATCGAAAGCAGAAAGACGGCTCATGTCCGACGCCCAAAAAGACCACGTGTTCCTTTCGAGTCCAAACGTCAGGTTGGTTTCGTCGGGAGAAACGAAGACCCCGCCACGTCCAGGCCGCAGCGGCTGGCGCGCATCTCGCACAGCACCGCCAGCACGGCCGCAGGCCTCCCGAAGTGCCACAACGGCTCCGGACAATGGGGGGGGGCTGGCAAGGGAAACCTAGGGCAACAGCAAGCTGACATGCAGACACTTATCAACGGAGCAAGCCAAGGCACGCTTCTTGCCAAGCGATTGCTCTCTCTCTCTCCCCTCTCTCCCTGGCATAACATCTCCAGTGCGGCTTCAGCCCCAAACCCTGGCATCTCACGGAACTTCCGTTCAAGTACACAACGATCCAGCCGTCGCGAACAAACTGTCGCCAACAAGACCCGCCTCTTTTACACAAGACCCTTCAAAGGACCCTTCAAAGGGGCACTGCAATGTCCTTCATATAAAACTGTCAGAGAGTGCCTTGATTAAATGTTTGCAATTGTCTGAATCAGCCGTATGCCTGAGAACTGAGTCTCAGGCAAGGCGCTCAGACTACCAAGAAGCTATACAAACTACAAGAGCAAGGCCCCGCTCAGCGCTGAGAAGCCTTCACCACATCCTTGAACTCCAGGAATGCCTTGTAGGCCGCCTTGGCGTCCTCAGCGTTCACCTTGGACATCATGTAAGGGCCCACATCCTTGCCCAGGCTGAACTTGTTGAAGGCGTTGTACACGTCCATGGTCTTGGAGGCCGGCAGGACGCAATCATGTGGCCAATGGCGGCGTTGGTGGCCGTGTAGTCCGCAAGGGTGGTCACCCCCTTGCCGTCAATGCTCTTGATGGCCTCGCTTGTGGGCCAACACGCCAGCCTTCAGAGCCTCCGGGTCCATCGCGGCGCCCATAACCAACATCTTGTCGATCGCCTTCAGCACCTCCAAGGGCTTGGCGGTGGGCAGAACGCATAGACGCCATCAGTCCAGTCGATCTCCTGAATGGAACGTGTAATGATGTTTCTGACGGACAGCCGTTCACATGCGAAGACGTTTGCCGCCAAAGGAATCAGTCCTAAGTCCCTCAACAATAAAACAAGAGCTGGAAGAACAAGCAGGCATTGTGAAGCCGCAACTGTTGGACGGTATCTGGAAGCCTTCACAAAACAGGAGCCTTAAACAGACTCCTAAAAGGTTCAATCAACATCCCACCCAGAGGTCCAAAGTTGGGCTAGAGGAAGCTTCTTTCAAGCCATGATGGGGTGATCATGCTCTGCAATCCTTCAAGAATGGGTAAGACTTCTCTGATAGAACCTTGGCCGCATCATCGATCTTGTCCGCGTAAGCCGGCGCTGTGCCCAGCATGGCCGCGGCGCCGGCCGCCGTGGCGATCGGCACGTGTCGGCCAGCAGGGGGCACGAATGCACCCTGCCAGCCGCAGTAGGCCGCCACA